CTGTCTCAGACCCTCATATCTTTGCCTAGAAAATTATGTCTATACTGTCTCAGACCCTTATCTCTTTGCCCACAAAATCCTGTCTATAATGTCTCAGACCCTCATCTCTTAGCCCACAATATCATGTCTATACTGTTTCAGACCCTCATCTCTTAGCCCACAAAATCTTGTCTATACTGTCACAGACCCTCATCTCTTTGCCCACAAAATCATGTCTATATGTCTCAGACCCTTATCTCTTTGCCTACAAAATCATGTCTATACTGTCTCAGACACTCATCTATTAGCCCACAAATTCCTGTCTATACTGTCACAGACCCTCATCTCTTTGCCCACAAAATCATGTCTATACTGTCTCAGACACTCATCTCTTTGCCCACAAAATCATGTCTATACTGTCTCAGACACTCATATCTTTGCCTACAAAATCATGTCTATACTGTCTCAGACCCTCATCTCTTTGCCCACAAAATCATGTCTATACTGTCTCAGACCCTCATCTCTTTGCTTAGAAAATCATGTCTATACTGTCTCAGACAATCATCTCTTTGCATACAAAATCATGTCTATACTGTCTCAGACCCTCATCTCTTTGCTTACAAAATCATGTCTATACTGTCTCAGACCCTCATCTTTTTGCCTACAAAATTATGTCTATACTGTCTCAGACCCTTATCTCTTTGCCTACAAAATTATGTCTATACTGTCTCAGACCCTTATCTCTTTGCCCACAAAATTATGTCTATACTGTCTCAGACCCTTATCTCTTTGCCTACAAAATTATGTCTATACTGTCACAGACCCTTATATCTTTGCCTACAAAATCATGTCTATACTGTCTCAGACCCTCATATCTTTGCCTACAAAATCCTGTCTATACTGTCTCAGACTCTCATATCTTTGCCTAGAAAATTATGTCTATACTGTCTCAGACCCTTATCTCTTTGCCCACAAAATCCTGTCTATACTTTCTCACTCATCTCTTTGCCCACAAAATCATGTCTATACTGTCTTAGACCCTCATATCTTTGCCTACAAAATCCTGTCTATACTGTCTCAGACCCTCATATCTTTGCCTAGAAAATTATGTCTATACTGTCTCAGACCCTTATCTCTTTGCCCACAAAATCTTGTCTATAATGTCTCAGACCCTCATCTCTTTGCCTACAAAATCATGTCTTCACTGTCTCAGACACTCATTTCTTTGTCTACAAAATTATGTCCATACACAAAAGAGATGATCTAATTTACCTTAAAATTCCCATTAGGGACGGTCGTGGGTAAACTTCCACAACCGCACTTGGGGGTAACGCCCAGGCTACATGCTCGAGCTGTGGAGTGGACGAGAGCCGACGCTGAAATACTGTACACGTAGGCCTGCTCTCTGGTGCCTGCAAAACATTTGAAAAAGCTATGTACTAACCTGAGAAAACACGTACAACATTCAAACAGAAAACACCCGAGGGCAGGGCAGGGGAACCCCTCTGGTTCTGTGGGAAAGACTTCTGCCTTGAGCTTTGACGTCGAGGCTTGTTTCAGTAAATGTGTGGCTCACGGCAACTTGTATGGCGGAACTCTGACGATCGTCGCTGAAGCTAAGGACTTCATATGATGTTTGACCCTCACGGCAGGCTACTTCTTCAGAAAGTCCATGCCGTGTGGCATATGTATACCCACAACTTTCTGTCTCATGCGCTTTTAGTCAACTCTGACAACAAATGATCCTGCTTGCCATGATGTCAAAGTGTCCAGCATCTTGTCTCTTGGTCTGCCTCTGCTCCCCTCCAATTTTCCTACTGTCACGATGTACTCCAGTTATGCTCCTTCTCATCACATGACCAAAGAATCTAGATTGTCTCTTTCTGATGTGGGCAATCGGCTCTCTTCATGGGTCGGTTTCTTTCAAGACATCCTCATCACTCTTTGTTTTATCTCCAGTGTATTCACATTGGCAACTATGAACCTCTATAAACTACAGTAACAAGTCGACAAATGCAATGGTATGGACATGTAATAAGGTCTAACGCCCTCTTAAAAACAATACTGCACGGCTCGGTAGAGGCAAAGAGAAGAAGAGGCAGACCAAGAAAGACCTGGTTACAGAACCTGACTGACTGGACAGGCCTCAGGTATGCAACCATGAAGTCCATCGCAACTGAACGCCAAAGGTGGAGAGAGCTGATCAGACAGTCAACATAAACTGGTGACCCGACGACACGTAGTGTTACGTGATGATGATGATGATTCTCATCCTTCGTCTATAAACCACAGCTCCGCAACTTGCAAATAATTTTCCACTAATCTACCAACTGTCCATTATTCAGGCTGCGTAGCGTTGTTTTAAAACTTTACAATTCAGGTCCATAATTTGTTCATGATTTTAAAAGCCTACACAATATGCAGGCTATATATTTACAGACCAATCGGCGCTAGATGGGTGGTTTAGTCAACCCTATGCCAGCAGCCGTTACTTCACTATTTAAACTAGATCAAAACTGGAGTCAAAGTCAATTGTTAAAAAAAAAAAAACCATCCAGCCCAATACGGATTCGAACCCAAAATTATCGGGGCGAAAGATAAGTGTAAATTAAAGACATGGCCAGCTGTCAAATCTGCAGAATATGTGTGGATAAACAGGCGGGTATCCGTGTAGCCGGATTTGATCCCTAGCCTGACAAGTGATTACCCACACCGCGTTATCTGGGACGTCTTTTGAAGTTTCCAAATCCTAGATTTAAAGAATCAGCTTGGGTGTAGATATCTCTAAAGGCAGGCGTCTGAAGAGACAGCAAGATAAACAGTGAGAGGTTTAAAGCAGCGGTTCTCAACCTGTGGGTCGCGACACTTTAGGAGATCGAAAAACCCTTTTAAATGGGTCGCCAAAGACTATCGGAAAACAACACATTCACTGAAGTTCTGAAGAATTAACAAAAATAATGTTATAGTTAGGACAAGGAAAGGGAGGGGGGGGGGAGGGGTGAAGAAGAGAAGGGGGAGGGGAGGGACTGCAACATGAGGAACTATATTGAAGGGTCATTGCATTAAGAGGGTTGAGAACCACTGGTTTAAGGGTTTTGTTGGAGAATACAATGACATGACCAGTGTTTCGAATGTTAGCTCTTTGTTAGCTAGAACAAGTGTTAGCTCTTTGTTAGCTAGAACAAGTGTTAGCTCTTTGTTAGCTAGAACAAGTGTTAGCTCTTTGTTAGCTAGAACGAGTGTTAGCTCTTTGTTAGCTAGAACAAGTGTTAGCTCTTTGTTAGCTAGAAAAAGTGTTAGCTCTTTGTTAGCTAGAACAAGTGTTAGCTCTTTGTTAGCTAGAACAAGTGTTAGCTCTTTGTTAGCTAGAACAAGTGTTAGCCCTTTGTTAGCTAGAACAAGTGTTAGCTCTTTGTTAGCTAGAACAAGTGTTAGCTCTTTGTTAGCTAGAACAAGTGTTAGCTCTTTGTTAGCTAGAACAAGTGTTAACATTTGATTATCCTTACAGAAATAAAGGCGTAATTAGTTACAGATTATCAGAGCGTATTGAGAAAAAAAAATGAGAAAATAATTATTAAAGATGTGGATACAGTTTTAAATTAACTAAAAAAAAAATGGTGTAAATTAGTTCGAAAACCAAAACACGAATAGACGATTACAATAAATGCAAGGAAATTAAAGTGAATAAAGGAGGAGGAAGAGGAAAAAGGTGAGGTGCAGGAAATATGAAGAAACAAAGTGAATGTAATGTCTCTCCTCCCGCATCCCATGTGTGTGTGTGTGTGTGTGCGTGTGTGTGTGTTCAGGAGCCCAACGGGGGAGGTGGGTGGACGTCTTAATGAAAAAAAGATAGAAAGCCAGCCAGCCAGCCAGCCAGCCAGCCAGCCAGCCAGCCAGCCAGCCAGACAGACAGACAGACAGACAGACAGACAGACAGAGAGAGAGAGACACAGACAGACAGACAGACAGACAGACAGACAGACAGACAGACAGACAGACAGACAGACAGACAGACAGACAGACAGACAGACAGACAGACAGACAGACAGACAGACAGACAGACAGACAGATAGATAGATAGATAGATAGATAGATAGATAGATAGATAGATAGATAGATAGATAGATAGATAGATAGATAGATAGATAGATAGATAGATAGATAGATAGATAGATAGATAGATAGATAGATAGATAGATAGATAGATAGATAATAATAATAATACTTAACCATTTGACTTATGCTTCGCTAACACTGGCTGTAAACTCTTGCGGAAACTTCTAGTAGTTCATCCACGTCTTTAGCATATTTGCAGTTCTACGGTCTGTGTTAATTTTTGTAAACTGGCTTTTGCTTTGCTTCGTGAACACTGGCTGTAAACTCTTGCGGAAACTTCTGGTTGCTCATTGACTTATTTTGCATATTTGCAGTTGTACGGCTATGTTAATTTTTGTAAACTGGCTTTTGCTTTGCTTCGTGAACACTGGCTGTAAACTCTTGCGGAAACTTCTGGTTGCTCATCGACTTATTTTGCATATTTGCAGTTGTACGGCCTGTGTTAATTTTTGTAAACTGGCTTTTGCTTTGCTTCGCGAACACTGGCTGTAAATTCTTGCAGAAACTTCTGGTTGCTCATCAACTTCTTTTGCATATTTGCAGTTGTACGGCCTGTGTTAATTTTTGTAAACTGGCTTTTGCTTTGCTTCGCGAACACTGGCTGTAAACTCTTGCGGAAACTTCTGGTTGTTCATCCACTTCCTATACATATTTGTTACCAAAAAATTTGCAATGATAAGGAATTGATTTCATCCAACAAGATTAAACTGGACAAATTTGTTTGTGCTGTTTCTACCTTGAGGATACATATTTAGTAGTGCTATAAGTAAGTTAAGAAAACTACTCTAGGTGAAAAAAGTATTGCACATATCAATTTCAATTGTGCTTGTTTACTAATTATTAAACAACAGTATAATTATATGTTGTAGTAGTCTACTAATAATAATAATAATAACCATCAATCATTTATATTTATGTTATGTATGACATGTGTATGTTTCATAGCAGTATTTTTATGCGCTAAATTTGATAAAGTACAAATGTCACCTCTCCGCTCCCCCCCCCCAACCCCACCCCCACCCCCCCCCCCACCCCCCACTCCTCTGATGCAACAATACCCTCTCAGAATCAAAGAGTTAGCACTGATATTTCTTTACTTTTGCTGGAACAACTTTTAGTTTACATCTAAACGTTATTGATGTTTATGTTCATGTTGACTGTAGCAAAAGCATTTTTGTTTGTCTGTAAGAGCATTTATTGTTATATTTAATTGGCACACTTATTTACCTTAGAAATGACGTATAGTTCTAAAAAATATGTCGAAAATTAATGAAACTGTAGTTTAATTTGCGTATGCATCTCCTCGATAAAAACTGTGGACGCAGAGGGACTCAATTCTTGCACAAGAACGGGAATTCCCGTGTGAGCTGTACGGCCTTATAAATCTGGAGCTGGCAGTGGACTGGCTGGGCGACGCTAGATGGCTCGTGATCATGGTACGTTCAATTGGCTAGGTAATCTTAGATCTGATTTCCATTGTGCATCTTTGTAAGGATATAGTTTGATGGCAGGTCGCTATACGTGATTTGTTGGCATATTGAAGCTTAACGCCCATGTTAAATATGTTTCGGTTTTTGCCAATGGTTGAGGTAATCTCGCTGAGTGTATGGTGTCATTATCATATTTCATTTTTTGCTGGAGATAATTCATGTTTAGATTCTGGTCGATCACGTTGTTGTTGTTAATGTTATTCGTGGACCACGCTGATGTTATGTTGAGTAAAATAAACAGGTGTTTAATGCAATCATAATTCATTTGCTTGAATTAATTTAGGATCTGTAGTCCGTGGTTCGTCTAGGTGTTTGTAACCATGCAGTTAGGTCGTCGTCATGTAACTCATTATACGAATATTCATAGTTAGGGTCTCAGTGAAATATTTTAGGATCTCTGCACAGAAGAACCCCTGTCTTTTCTTTACTTCCCGGTTTTTGTTCTTTAGCGGGGAACTGTTACTTTTGTTCTAATCACAATTTGCTCCTTTATCTCTCCCTTCTTCTGTGTTTTGCCTCCTTCTTTCTTTATCACAGACAGATAGACAGACTAACAGACGGACGGACAGACAGACAGACAGACAGACAGACAGACAGACAGACAGACAGACAGACAGACAGACAGACAGACAGACAGACAGACAGACAGACAGACAGACAGACAGACAGACAGACAGACAGACAGACAGACAGACAGACAGACAGACAGACAGACAGACAGACAGAGACAGACAGACAGACAGACAGACAGATAGATAGATAGATAGATAGATAGATAGATAGATAGATAGATAGATAGATAGATAGATAGATAGATAGATAGATAGATAGATAGATAGATAGATAGATAGATAGATAGATAGATAGATAGATAGATAGATAGATAGATAGATAGATAGATAGATAGATAGATAGATAGATAGATAGATAGATAGATAGATAGATAGATAGATAGATAGATAGATAGATAGATAGATAGATAGATAGATAGATAGATAGATAGATAGATAGATAGATAGATAGATAGATAGATAGATAGATAGATAGATAGATAGATAGATAGATAGATAGATAGATAGATAGATAGATAGATAGATAGATAGATAGATAGATAGATAGATAGATAGATAGATAGATAGATAGATAGATAGATAATAGAACAGGAAGACAAATTCCAGACAAGATGAACTGACAAAAAATCTTTTTAAAAACAAGCCTGTGCTAAGCCCTAGTGCTAAAGCCGGTGTGTATGCAAGCAAGTACCCTTGTGTTTTACGACAGTGTTAATACAGACACCGGTTATCTGGCATTGTTCTAGCGATAACGTCAGACAGACAGGGTCGGCTACCAGAAGTGGGTTCCAGGGGAATTATGACCTGTGACGGAGAGATAATTGTTGCACCTGCGTGAACTGGCAGATTCTCTAGAGATCGCTATCTCATTGTTCTTGCTTTGTGTTCGTTTAGCTTCTTCCGGCGAGTGGGAATGTTCATTGTTGTCTTTCGGTTTTTTTCCCCGGTGGAAAAGGATGAGGAGTCACTTTTGGCTTTTGTAGTTCTTCTTCTTCTTCTTCTTCTTCTTCTTCTTCTTCTTCTTCTTCTTCTTCTTCTTCTTCTTCTTCTTCTTCTTCTTCTTTTTCCTACTCTGCTACTGTTGCTTTATCATATCATTATCATTAAGATTATCAGCATAAATTTCTTCTTCTTCTTCTTCTTCTTCTTCTTCTTCTTCTTCTTCTTCTTCTTCTTCTTCTTTTTTTCTTCTTCTTCTTCTTCTTCTTCTTCTTCTTCTTCTTCTTCTTCTTCTTCTTCTTCTTCTTCTTCTTCTTCTTCTTCTTCTTCTTCTTCTTCTTCTTCTTCTTCTTCTTCTTCTTCTTCTTCTTCTGCTGCCGCTGCTGATGTTGCTGCTGCTACAGTATTGTAGAAACCATGGGTTCCCTATGCAATATGATCAATCAGCTTTGTTTACACTAAAAGAAAAGTTAGAAGTTATGTTGCTTTTCTTGCATCAAGCTGTAGGAAAAGCTCATTAATTTTTTTTTTTTTTTCAACATGAGAAATGAAAGAGCATGTACTCACCTCTGATCAAGTCTACAGACAGACCAGGCACTCTCAGGATCGAGCTGCAGTTCCATCTCCTGTCGGCAAACTGCTTCTGACAGGTCTCCACAGCCACCGAGGCTGAGACAACAACTGTGGGCATGAGGTCAAGGTTGTCCCGGCACAGCTTCAGTTGCCGCGCAACCAGACCCGTGTTTCCGGTACAGTTTTTGATGGTATCCCACGGTCGTTGTTTCATTCGGTACAAAGCTCTGCGTGAGAGATAATATCAGTTTGTACCAGGGTCATGTAATTAGATAATGTAATATTCAAATCAAAAAATAATAAATGGACAGAAAGCGCAGAAATGGGAATTAAAACCAAGTTAAAAAAAAAAGAAGAAAAAAAATTGGTGAAAAACTGGGATGAGCTGCACGCTATGGCTAGAAACAGGACGAGTTGGTAAGGGAAATTTGTTCCAGTGAGCGAAAAAAGACAGATCAAATAGGAATATTTCATTGTCATTAGTTCTTGTTTAGTAGCAATCAAATACACGACTGCCGGTTTGCTATGTCTATCCCGTAGAGGGCAGGAAAAGTCTGACCCCCTGGGTGATCGTCTGCTTCCGAGCAAGCAACTGCGGCCGTTAGCCTGGAACCTCGAGGCTTTTTGTCATTAACAATACAAGACGAGACATGGTAACGACATTGGAAAGAAAATTGGAATAAGACAGTGTCTGGTTAATACTGACAGACAAAATTAAATGGTTCAGACCAGAGTACTTATGCGACTTTTTACAGTAGAACATCTGGTAGTAAGGCGAGAGGAAGACCAAGAAAGAGATGGATACATGGTGTAGTTGAAATCTGCAAACAAAAGATGAACAAATCTATCACTCGAGCCACCCGAAAAGGGCAAGATAAATACAGAAAACCACGACACTGGGCTACAACCTGGTATCAGTGAGACGACAAAACCACGACACTGGGCTACAACCTGGTATCAGTGAGACGACAAAACCACGACACTGGGCTACAGCCTGGTATCAGTGAGACGACAAAATCACGACACTGCGCTACAACATGGTATCAGTGAGACAACAAAACAATGATACTGGGCTACAGCCTGGTATCAGTGAGACAACAAAATTACGACACTTGGCTACAACCTGGTATCAGGAAGACGACAAAACCACGACACTGGGCTACAACCTGATATCAGTGAGACGACAATACCACGATACAGGGCTACAACCTGGCATCAGGGAGACGACAATACCACGACACTGGGCTACAACCTGGTATCAGTGAGACGACAATACCACGACACAGGGCTACAACCTGGTAACAATGAGACGACAAGACCACGACATAGGGCTGCAACCTGATATCAGTGAGACGACAATACCACGACACAGGGCTACAACCTGGTAACAATGAGACGACAAGACCACGACATAGGGCTGCAACCTGATATCAGTGAGACGACAATACCACGACACAGGGCTACAACCTGGTAACAGTGAGACGACAAAAGAAGAAGAAAGAGGAATCTGACCTCTAAATTAGTATCACTTACAGTGCCTAGAGTTAGGCTTTTTGTTCAGGGGTTAGTCAATCTCTGTGTTATGTGTATCTAGGTGTTACGTGTTGTATATATGTGTTATATGTTATCTACGTGTTACGTGTTGTATATATGTGTTATATGTTATCTACATGTTACGTGTTGTATATATGTGTTATATGTTATCTACATGTTACGTGTTGTATATATGTGTTATATGTTATCTACGTGTTACGTGTTGTATATATGTGTTATATGTTATCTACGTGTTACGTGTTGTATGTATGTGTTATATGTTATCTACGTGTTACGTGTTGTATATATGTGTTATATGTTATCTACATGTTACGTGTTGTATATATGTGTTATATGTTATCTACATGTTACGTGTTGTATACATGTGTTATATGTTATATACTGTTACGTGTTGTATACGTGTTATATGTTATCTACATGTTACGTGTTGTTATATATGTTTATATGTTATCTACGTGTTACGTGTTTGTATGTATGTGTTATATGTTATCTACGTGTTACGTGTTGTATATATGTGTTATATGTTATCTACATGTTACGTGTTGTATATATGTGTTATATGTTATCTACATGTTACGTGTTGTATACATGTGTTATATGTTATCTACATGTTACGTGTTGTATACATGTGTTATATGTTATCTACGTGTTACGTGTTGTATATATGTGTTATATGTTATCTACGTGTTACGTGTTGTATACATGTGTTATATGTTATCTAGGTGTTATGTGTTGTATATATGTGTTATATGTTATCTAGGTGTTACGTGTTGTATACATGTGTTATATGTTATCTAGGTGTGTAATATGCTATCTAAATGTGTTAAATATATTTTTAAAGTTTTTTTTTAATATATCTATGAGTGTTACATTATGTTGTCTGTGTATTTTATGTTTTTTTATGTGAGTTATGCGTTATCTATGGGAGTTATATGATATATTTTGTGTTTATGTGTTATTTGTGTGTGTGTTATCTATGTGATTTTTGTGTCATCTGTGTAAATTATGTGTTCTTTATGTGTGGTGTTTGTTAACTAAGTGTGTTTAGTGTTATCCAGGTGTGTTTTGTGCTGTTTATGCGAGTTAAATATGTGTGTTATATGTTATCGATATATATTTTGTGTTATATATGTGTGTTATGTGTTATCTAGGTATGTTATGTGTTATATAGGTGTGTTATATGTTATCCATATGAGTTATGTGTTATCTAGATATGTTATTCGTTATATAGGTGTGTTATATGTTATCCATATGAGTTATGTGTTATCTAGGTATGTTATGTGTTATATATGTGTGTTATATGTTATCCATATGAGTTATGTGTTATCTAGGTATGTTATGTGTTATATAGGTGTGTTATATGTTATCCATATGAGTTATGTGTTATCTAGGTATGTTATGTGTTATATATGTGGTTATGTGTTATCTAGGCATGTTATGCGTTATATATGTGTATAATGTGTTATCCATATGAGTTATGTGTTATCTTTATTAGTTATTTGTCAGCGTCTGTGGCCTAGGCGTTGTGAACACGCTTCGTAATGCCGCGTTCGATATGCGCTGCATGTGATTTAAAAGCAAAATGTCTTGCATTCGTCATGACAGTGGTACAGAAAACTGACGGTTCATGAGCAATGGCAAATTATTGAACGTAAAATTTGTTTAGAAAAACCGCAACAGCCAAACACTGTTGTTGTTGGACCCGCAACGTCCTATAAATGATGCGCAGCTAACTAGTGTGTTACCTAAGTGTGTCATGTGTTTCCTATGTGCTTTTTATGTGATCTACATATTATCTATGTGAGTTACATATTATCCATGTGAGTTACATAATACCTATGTGTATTATGTAATACCTATGTTAGTTATGCCTCATCTATATGTATTATTTGTTATCTTTGTGGGTATATGTTAGGTGTCTTCATCTACATTATCTTCATCTTCATCATCTTCATCTCCATCATCTTCATCTTCATCATCTTCATCTTCATCATCTTCATCGTCTTCATCTTCATCATCTTCATCTTTTTCATCTTCATCATCTTTATCTTCATCATCTTCATCATCTTCATCTTCATCGTCTTCATCATCTTCATCATCTTCATCTTTTTCATCTTCATCATCTTCATCTTCATCATCTTCATCTTCATCATCTTCATCTGCTGCTGCTGTGTCATATAAAATAGCTTTGGCCCTGCACGCCACCAAGAAACCCGGAAAAGGACTCCTACAATGTTGATGCGATCAAAGAAGACAGACACAAATACTGTCCCACCGGCGACGAAGTCGTCTCCTAGCCAATGGGCTACCCGATTTTGACGTCTGTAGGTGTGTTAGACCACTATTTTAAAGACCAAAAGTCAATCAGTGGGTCAACATCACGCTGACCGTCTTTACTTCCCAGGTCTTTACCTGGTACCCGTTTATGGCTGGCTACAAACATACACACGCTTCTATCGTGTAACTAAAGAAGGAAAAGAAGTAGGAGGCAATGTAGGAGGAGGGGGAGAGGGAGGAGAAAAAAAAAAGAAGAACAGCAACAACAACAATGACAACAACATAAAGAAGAAGAAGAAGAAGAAGAAGAAGAAGAAGAAGAAAGAACGCGGAGAATGAGCATAAACAGCAGCAAAAGAGAACATGCGAACAGAAGGGAAAGATGAAACACTTCAGAGACTTTCCGACTCATAAAAACTCCCGAAAGACTGGTTTCGAAAAACTACTATCTACAATTGCAGGATCTGAGCCACAAGCTTGTAAACAACATAACACCTGCGCTGCGTTTTCACCTCCCTCCACAGAATCTCCCTTTCCAGTATCTCCCTTGCCAGCATCTCCCTCTCCAACATCTCCCTTCCCTGTGAGCAGGTTTGACCAGGCACAGTCCGCGACCCCTGGTGATTCCTTCTTCTTCTTCTTCTTTTTCTTCTCCTTCTTCTTCGCGTTCACCGGCTGTGAACTCCGGGGATGGGGAGGGGGTGGGGTGGGTTGGAGGTGGGAGGGGGGTTGGTTGTTTGTTTATCTCTGGACTTGAGAATCTGAATGTTACATGCATATCCGTTTTACACATCTAGACTGTTGGTTCCTTGCCTCTCTGGCAGATGCACATTGACTTTAAAGGAAGCCCCTAATTAGTCGACTCTTACGACATGCTTGTAGGAGAAGCAGTTGGTTTATTTTTCTTTTTCCTCACGATGCAGCCAACAACGGGTGTGACTTGACACTTAACCCTTTGGGGTAAAAGGGGGGTGGGGGTGGGGGGGGGGCAACTAGCTCAACATGCACTACCAGGCATTACGGAACTTAGGAGTTCAGGCCCCTTGCGCCCTCACACCCCTGTTTCCCCCTTTGTAGGCTGGATATTGAGACCGTCGAGCCAACAGATAAGCGTCTAGCCACTGCCATATCGCGGCTACAGCAAGCGGGACTAGATTCGAAATATCTCTACTAGCACACAGTGCACGTAGTGGCCTCGTCATAATTCTACCGCTGGACCAAAGCTAATGGCCTGGTTGTTACAGCAAGAGATCATACCCGGCGACTACTAATTCACTATCTGCTCAATCTGCGAGCTGTCTTTAGTGACCGTTGCACATTTTTATATCACCTGCTAATTCCTTGTAACTACGTCTTTTATTTGGTACAGTTTTTATTGTGGATATTTTTTCGATGA